AATAATTTATTATTTTTATTTAGTCAAAATGGGGATAGCTTCTTTATAATACCAATTTCTATCTAAAACTTTAAAGCTGAATTCATCACGTTAGATGGGAATCGAAATTAATATAATATACTAAGTCGAATATACGTAGTCGGATGCAACTGAACGTGTTATACTAGTTTACGCTTCGATGAAACTCAAATCAATTAAAATTTATGTTATTTACCGAGGTAAGTATAATTGGATTTAATAAGTCTCTCTTAAAGACAGAAACATGTCTAACATGTTAAGTAATTCTAGTGGGAAATATATGACAAATAGAGTTTACCCTATCCAAACAATCCACAGGGAATAATATTCCGAGAATATTATTTGAATTTAAAGTATTTTGCCTAAATTACAAAAACCAATATGCCCATTTCACTTCATTAAAAATCATTAAAATGTATTTTAAAAGCTTAAAAAATTTATATTATTTACTATTTGCATAGACCTTAACATTATTTTACTTATATTTATTTTTGCTGTCGTCGGGATTTAAAATCAAAAAAATTTTTTTTTTTGTAAAATTTTTGGTTAATTAATACACGTGCTTCATTTTTAAATAATATGAGGTGAATCTCCGAAAGTAAGTTTGTTCTCATTTAAAAGTGGCGTGTGTCGAATAATGAGTCCCTATAAATTATTGTTATATAGTATATACGTCAAGCTGTAATCTTCTTTGCCAATTAAATAATAAATGATTTTCTTTTTTAATTGTAAGAGTTGAATCTATAAAAGCGCTGAGCTTGATAGGAATAAGTATCATTTGTTAAATAAATAAATGCTGTATTTATTTACTAAAAATTCAAATATTTATTCTTTTGTCGATAGCAATAATGAGTTCTACTCTCGTTATCCTTCTGATTTTTTTCGGATACGGCATAGTTGCATGTTCACGGCCCTATCGACCATCCGTGGGTACTGGCACTACATTGCCCGTAAGCTTCGAACGACCAATTGCTGCTGGATCTACTATACTTACACCTGTTCAACAACGGCCTTTTTTTGCTGGAACTACCGAAGGTGCTATCTTGGAGCCAAGCAGAGACCGCTCCAAGACTCCCTACTAAATATTATTAAGATATGAATTCCACTTGTGATACTACTAAACATACGCAACAAATTTATATATTTACTCAAATAAAAATATTTTAGAAAATAATTTCTTGCTTATTAATTTATATTAACTATTAATTATAAATAACAGTTTCAGGCGTTGATGGTCTTATTGCATATTATAAAATATACGTTTACTTTTTACGTTTAAACTATGAAACCCCTAAAAACCAATTATCGATGGCTCCCGTTTATATTAAGAAAGCCTAAAGTCGCGATGCCCAAAAAAAAAAAGAATGAACCAAAGTGGTATAGACTAGGTTGAAGAAAACGGAAGTACAATCAGATTCAATCAGGTTATGAAAATAGAAATAGCATAAATTGAGTTTAGACTGAGTTACAATAATATTTGCTGCACTGAAACTTCTTATCTGAATCTGCTTCTTATTTGCATAGCGTATGGGTTTTCATAGTATGTCCTTATACTATTGGAATGGTCTTTGAATCCAGCTTGAAAGCATAGAGTTGAGCTTAACTTTATAGATAGCTAGATAGTAAGGGCAAACAGTAATCATTTTGATATACATATATAGATATACTGTGTGATTTCCTTTGATTTGCTCCATCAGCATATAATTTTCTAAATATTACTATGAAATATAGATTATTTAGCAAATTTTGTGTACTCACATAACCTTTGCATTTAGCAGACGAATTTACCTATAAGGGAAACTAGCGTTATACATAGAAACGACATATGGTAGATTTTTATTAAATATATGCAAGCATTGGTACATTGACTTAGTTGCTGCAGAGTTTCCATTGTCTGGAATAGAGTAATAGAAAAATATATAGATAATACATGAAACAAATCTAAATCTATATTATTTTTGAAATTGGGCCAAGTCAACTTTTCTTTAATTATATGATTCATTCTGTAATCAGGTAATCAATGCATTAATGTTCACATGAGATAAATCAGCTGCGCCTAATTTGAACACACTAATTGAAATATTAATGCACTTGACGAATGAGCATTCAGGGATTGGATCTATAAAAGCGTCGAGCTTGATCAGAAAAAGTATCAGTTGTCAACGAACTAATTTGCCAACTAAACAAACATCTGCTTTTCTCCGATTACTAAAATGGCCGCTACTTACATTATCCTGTTGAGTTGCCTGGTGTACGGTGCCTTGGCTGGCGGCGCAGCACCATCCAAACTATCGCCAGTGGAAGGACGTCCGGTTGCCCAAGACGTAGGCGTTCCTCCTCTACGCCCACCAGTGGCAGGACCTGCTGTTTCGAGACCATCGAATGCCTATTTGCCCCCAGCTAAGGGTGTGGTCAGAGCTCCAGCTGCTTCTGCTCCTCTCAATTTGGCACCAGGTGCACAGCGCCCTGTTGATAATCGCGCTCCAGTCAATGTGGGCGGCAAACGTCTACCTGCTGACCGTCCCATTGTTGGTGCTCAATCTGTGAATCGCCAAACTGTCATCGGAGCTCCATCCGTCGGAGGCAAACGCCAGGTTATCCAGCGTCCTATTGCCTCGGGATCTCGTCTGTCTGCCCCCCTCAAGCAGCGATCATCTTATGGCGGTGCCGTACGACGAGGACCGGCAGTTGGCGGTGCGCGTCCAATCTCACCCATCCGTCAGAAACTGGGTTCTGACATTGTCGGCTCTCGCACTGTTGGTTCCCGCACTGTCGGCTCCAAGGCTCCTTACTAAACGATTTTGGCGGCAATATGACTCTTGAAGATGGAAACGGAAAATCGCTGATCACATTGAACACACAACAACAAACCTACTCCTAAAAATCAATTTATAATCTTTATTTTTCATATCGCATATGTTCTCTAAAAAATCTTAAATAAATTTCAAGCAAGACAGAATTATAAAAATTAAATTTGTTTTTCACTATAAGAAATCAAACATATCTTTGAAGGTTGTTCCATTGCGATATGTGTTAAGCAATGGTTATTCCATTTCTTCAAAATGAAGTAGTTTGATTCTGAAAGCAGCAAAATAAGATAAAGTGATTTTGATTTCAAATTAAGAAAGGGCTTTAAAATGTTTCATAAGATTAAATCTATAAAAGCTGCGTTGTCAGTTAAATCGTATTTTTCGTTGCGTTGACCTCRACTCAAGTAAGACAAACCTAACTTAAATTACTTGCTTTGTTTTTATCAATCTTTCACGGTAGCCAAATGAACTACTTTTTATACCCTGAACCCATTGAAAATGGGAAATCAGGGTATAATGGTTTTGTGAAAAGTATGTAACAGGCAGAAGGAATCATCGCAGACCCCATAAAACATATATATTCTTGATCAGGACGACGAGCTGAGTCGATATAGCTCTGCCCCTCTGTCCGTCCGTCAGTATGAGCAAAAGGATCTCAGAAGATATAAGAGCTAGAGAGCTGAAATTTGGCATGCATACTCGTGTATACCATAGGCAGTTCAAGTTTATCTTATTTTTTCGATAACTTATCTGATAACTTTTTTATCGAGAATAATCGAAAAATCGACATTGTTTTTTCAGCCTAATTTGAGCACTTTTAGACCTGGAGACTTCAAATTTTCGTTGTATATAAAGTTAATGAAAACAAAGATTTTGCAATTTACAGATTTTGGATACCACGCCCCCTTCTCCCCCAATTTGTAAAAAACGCATTTCAAGTACTAGAGTCTTGTGCCTTAGAACATTATGATTACGTTCTGAAAGTTTCATTAAGATCATACGGCTACAAAAGAAATTATTCAACAAACAAATTCTCATAATATTGCCCACATTGCAGCGCAGCCCAAGCGCAGCCGCTGCTTACTGCGCAGTTAGCAGAGCGCGTGCTTATAAGTGCATATGTATGTATGTGTGCATAAAAGAGGTCCAGAATAATTAGAATATCAGCTTGGGCGGTTCAGGCTAGTCGAGCAGTCTCGACTGGTGCCTTCTTACTTGTTTAGACTGTAATAAGCCCGTATGAATCTGAAAGAGAGAGTTTGCAAATGTAATTGATCCCAACAACATTGCTCTATTAGTCATAGAGAGCTGAACATCTTGGTAGATATCATCATCTTACTTAGTGGAAAAGATTAAATAGTTTATATTCATATATATAAATGTTCTATTCAATTTTAGGTTGTACTAGGTACTAACTTATGAGTTTATATAATATGCAATAAATATATTATTAGATGATAACATATTTATCGCAGAGCTAAAGTGTTGCACTAAGGAGTACAATAATATTAAATATTTACGCACTGGGAAATTCCGAATATAACTCTTCAATTAGATAATTAGATAATAATTTATAATTAGTTATTAAGTTAATTAAAATTAAATTTTATTTTTTAGCACTTAACGCTTGACCTTTTGCATGATTTAATTGGCAAATAAGATGTGGGTCAAGCAGCAGCTATAAAAGAGTCAACATCACGGAAAGGAACATCAGTAGCAGCTGGAAAACTTTCAAAGATGTCAATTATTAAGGTGCTGCTGCTTAGCTGCCTGGCCTATGGAGTCGTAGCCGTGCCTCCAGTCCCGCCGTATGTGTCGCCAATTGGAGCTGTATCGCCGGGTTACAGACCCGGTCTTCCAGGCCCTATTGCTTACGGATCTGTGTTGGGTGGAGGCATTGGAGGCGTTAGTAGAATTGGAGGAGTTGGTGGAATTGGAGGCATTGGTGCAATAGGTGGAGTTGGAGGAATTTCATCCGGCTATCCGTATGGTAGAGTTAACCAGCAGATACCTGCTTACGGATCCCTCATTGGTCGTAAATTCGGTGCTCCCGTTGGCATTGTTGGTCGTCCTCGCATAAACCCTGGCTACCAACAAGGCATTGTGTCTCCAATCTCTTCAGGTTATGGCTACCAGGGAATCCCCAATAAATATTCTCGTGGTCCCTATTAAATCTTAATAAAACGAAAAGTTTACTCGGGCTTCCCAATTAAATATGAATAATTGACACATAACATAAAAATGCTTTAAATTGTTGTCATTTAATTTAAATTCATAAATATTTTGGTGTAATTTAAACAATGTTTTTGCTGCTGCTTCAATATGAGATTCAGACAGCTGTTTATACAATATACATAATACATAAGCCATAAGTACTTTAAACCGTAGCCGGGTTGGCTTAATGCTCATTGCCTGTGCAATTCCTCATTAGTTGTCACGATTGCCATAATTGGCATATAGAAGACTTCATTACAGCCACGGCTGGATTTGGGGTTGTTGGTCAAAGTTATTTAACTTTTATAATGGCGCTCAGCGAAAGCCGAAGCAGTGTGAAAAGAAATAACATGATCGTTAGGCATTTGAAAATCAACCTTCGCACACCCAATTGGTAAATGGCTCAGGGTCGGCTCTGGTCGATTATTGGTGTCTGGCTGATATGCAACAATAAGAGCAAATTATGCTTACTATTCGCCTGAGCTATCGCAAATCCAATTGCTGTGATAAGTGCTTTTTTGCAAAAATGAAATGTCATGGCAATAATGATTTAAGAAATCTATAGACAAAATTTCGAGAAAAAAAAAAATGTACAAATGCCACCATCGTGGCAAATGCTTCACTTCACAATTTTACAATTATGTAAGCGTAATAAAATTGGCTTATACTACACTTCAGACCACTTGGGAGCATGTGCCGGAGGTGCTCTAAATCTTTAGCCAGCTATGACTCAGACGGAGCCCCGTTGCCAGCTGCGCGTTTTGGGGTGTCTGCAGAGTGCCAAAAAGTTTTAATTTCTATGCCATATTCGTGCGTTTTTCTTATACAATTAGCCAGGCGGCTATTAAATCAGTACATACATATCAGCAATTGCTCAATCGCATTGATCAAGTAACAAATAACATTGTGCCGAAAATTGACATTTTGTAAGCATTTTGAAAAGTGAACGCAGCAGCACTCACAGCAACAACAACAACAGGCCTACATACATGTGGTGCGTTGGTAAAAATCTTGAACATGTTAAGAATGCCCGCAAGGTTGTCTACAACCACTGTGGCAGCCATTCAGCGCCTCCAACTTAATTAAATTGGCTTAACATGGACCATTTGTGGCTTAGTTGGCTAGCTGGCGGCTCTGTCCGACTAATCAAATTGCCAATTTGAAGGCGCATTTGCAATGAAGTTAGGCCATAGCAACGAGCTTTTTGTCAGGCCAACGCCTAACGATTCCATTATGATGCACTCGGCTGGCCAGCAAACAAAATGGCATGCAATAAATATTAATTAAGCAACTCAATGGCATGGGCAAAGGAGAGTGAGCAACTAATATGCGAACATGTTAATGTTTTGCTCTACATTGAAGCTGTGCGTAAACAAAAATGTCACACGCCATTAAAATCTAATGGCATGTTTAATAAACTTTAAGAAAAACGAGACAAAAACGAAACAAAATGTAATGCTGTCAAACCAGGTCGATAACGCGGACTTCTAAAGCCCACAAACTAAACTTAAAAATAAAAATAAAAAATGGCCTCTTGTTGGTCTTTAATAAAAGAACAGCAACAGAGCTCAGCAAACGACTTTTCAAAAATGCGTGGAGCTCGTGTCAAAGTGTTGCGCTTGTTTGTTGTTGCTTCTGAAATAGTTGCACAATTTCCATGCGTTCATGCAAACCAATTGTAAAGGCAACGAAGTCTCTCAAAGCCAATCTCAAAAGCTATAAAATCGATATGGAAAATATCTCAAGATAAAAACGAATTTTCGAGCCTGGCGCATGTTAAATTGATTTTAATGGTTCAACCTTTGGACGTTTTCGGTGAGCTTAGCTTAATTATGGCTTCATGTCTTGATTTACTTGTGTGCAAAGTCAGTAAAATTCAATTACAGGTTTATTGTAATGGAATATTATTAATTGCTTGCCTGGCCATATAAAATATGTGCTCTAAAAATTGTATTTATTTATATAAAAATGAGAGTAGAAATAATAATAAAAGTAGAAACACTTATAAGAACATTTTATTATTTTTATTATATTTATTAAATACTAATGTTTAATAATAACCAGCCAAATCCTAGACATGAGTA